TATGGTAATGGCACTAGCTAACATTTTGCATGTGAATGGTTCTTTACTTTATCTTTGCATCATACTTTTTGGCACTTCCATAAATTATGGAGAAGAAAGTAAAAGAAAATTGTCAGCATCTTATTCATCATGTGCATGACATCTTCAAGGCATTGCATACAACTACCATGATTCCCTGCCCATGTGTCTCATAGAGGGAATGGGTTATTGTATTAAATTCAATTCATTCACATAAGGTTGATTTTACTTTTAGTCCAAAATGCTGGGGAAGTAATTCCGAACTCATGTTTGATATCTCTAAGTGATTTGCCAAGATTTTAAAGTTTCCTGATTCATTGGGTTCAAGCCACTGTGAAGTAACATGTACTGGGAGATAGGGAATTCCCTCACTCATTGCAACAGCAAGCCTGTGATTTCCTTCAGCTAAATATGCTTTCCCATTTTTCTGGTTGAATGTAAGTATCAGTGGTGATTCAATGCCAAATTTAAGGACGTACCGCCTGATCTGCTCTAGTCTTGCTCCACCATCTTCAACCTTTGGTATGATTAAACGGTCAAACTCTCTAAACTCCCATAATTCCTCAGTGGCAACCATTTGAAATGGAAGCTCAGAGCTAAAACTCTTGGCCAGATAGCTATTTGATTTAGAGTCCTGAACTTCCTCTGGTAGGGGTTCCTCAAGGTATTTAAAAAAAGGGTTTGAATCTTGCATAGTGTTTAATTGGCATTGGTCTGATTCATCTTCTGATGAACTATGAGTAGTGTGATCAGGACCTGTAACTCTGTGTACAAGATCTTTAAATGTCTCAATACATTTTGTAATTTTTTTCTTAACAAAAGATTTTTTCAAAGGTGAAAAAAATTTCTTTAACTTCTTTGGGGCATGGCGTTCAGGTGTGTAATCTGTTGTTTTTTTTGGCGTTCCAGACATGCGCTTCACAGACAGCATATCCTCAACACTTCCAGGAGGTGTTGTCATATCTATGTCAGGAGCATTGTTTGGCATGGTTGAAGTATTTTTTGTCCTACTATCTGAGATATTTAAAACTAGTGTTTTCAACTCCTCTAGTCCTGCATTGTTTTGAAATGAAATAGCCTCATGTCTAAGAATTGCTTTCAAATTCTTGATCTTAACCTTATTGTCTGATAGATTTAGCTCATGCTTGTAGAATGAAATGATGGAATTCAGTTTGTCTTTTTGATATGAAATTGTCTTGCCATATTCATTTGCATGGCTGGTGCACTGTTCATAAAGGAGAATATGCACGTATTGTTTTTGTATACACTGAACCGTGTCGCCAACATAATTAGCTCTACCTCCATTCATCATGCCATCATAAAAGTACCAGCCATTTTTGTAGCCTATATGTGTCAAGATAACTTCACACCAGTAATGAATTCCATTAAAATACACAATTCCAGTCAGTTTGTATTCAGTATTTGCAATGTGGATATTTTCATCAAGGTTTGGAATGTATGTGCTAGATGTATTTCGTATGACAAAAAAAAAATTAGGATCACTGATTGCCTCTGATGTTACTCTTTTCTTACCATTACAAAACTTAGCTGTTTTGGCTGTAATTTCAGATATGCATGAACTTAAATCTGAGGCATCTGTGTCACAAATGACATTGCCACACCAACCTGATGGTAGCAAATGATTTTTTCTTGTTAGCAAATGTTCAACAACCAAGTTAATTTTGTATGTGTGGTCAGGTGATGCATGTTCTCGCAGTATATCATCATCAGTCAGTGGGAAAATAACATGGTGCTTAATTCGCTGGCTTGAGTGTTTCTGGGGTTGCAGAGAACAGAGTGTAGACGTTTTCTCTGTAATTCTAAAGTTTAAGGTAAAAGACTCATCACTATTTTCCATCAGTCGAAAGAAAATTCCAATTATTGAAGCAGATCTTCCAAATGAATAGTAAATCTGTCCATTATCAGTTTCATCACGGAGCCACTTCCATAATTTTACTTTGCTGTCTAGTAAATCTCCATTTTCCCTTAATTTGAAACATTCCTCCAAAACACACATTCCTTTACCAGAATTGCTTGGTATCTGGATTTGGCGCCTGAAAGGATGATAAAGAAATTCAAGAAGAGTATCCTGATGGCAGCTATTTCCAAGTCCCCCAGAACCCCAAGTATATGATTGATAAAAACGTTGAGGCTTGGCAACTGAAAGGGTTTTGTTATTTAGCTTTTTCAGTCTCATTTCGCAGGGATTTAATTTACATTTCCACTCTTCCACTTTGCAGCCTCCACATTTTCTTGGCGGAATTAGTTGTTTGGAATTTGTCTTTTCTGTTTGATTGCTCCAAAACAAATTGATAAAATCATGTTCAAGAATACAATCATCTCTTAATGAATTGCCAGATGACAGCTTTCTACACTTTTTTGAAATACATTCAGCCCTCTTTTTCAAATTAAGTGCATCAGCTTGCCAGTTGGGCATGATCCCTTCCCTTTCATTTGCAGAATTCCAGAATTTTTTCAAATAACTTAGCAAGTCGGCTATGTACTCATCATCCCTTTCGACAAGGTATATGCAGTAACCGACTGGAGTCCAAACCACATAGTGACACCACTTGGTGTTGGTACAATACATTTCAAGCATTACTTGTGGGATGTGGTTGACACAAACATTTCTGTATGGTACTGGTTTGCCGCCCATAAATGGACATTTAATTTCTACAACTCCTAAACCGTCTGTAATTGTTCCAATTTGTACTAACCCATCAGGAGAAGATGCTAACCATGGAATTCCATTCTCATCATTTATTATATGTACTCCAGTCTCGCTAACCTTGCTCTTAGGATAAGTCCTGGAAAGGAACTTGGAAATATATGTTGCCATAGCACTTTTTTCACACATAGTTCCCCATTTCATTGCCAAGTTATTATGGAAACTAGTTTCTGAATTTGTGGCCTTTTCTCCCTGTTGTAATTGGTTCCAGTAGTTTTGTATAACAGGCTTACCATGCCATCCTAAAGAAACTGCAGCCTTACTTCCATTAATTTTACCTTTTCGATAATTGAACCACTGATCTGACCCCTGTTTTGTTGTTTTGGAATTTGAATTGTCAACTGAAAGTGGCACATATGTGTTGTTTGTGTCAAGATCACAGCTGTCTAACATTCCAATCATTTTAGGTAATGCACTGGATGGGTGATACCAAACCTTTTTTTCAGGTGCATTGGTTTGCTTTATACTGCCAAAAGAAATAGGTTTTGATTTTTGAGTTGTCACTTTGAAAGGGCAATCTCTTCTAAAGTGTCCAAGTTGGTTGCATTTGAAACATTTTTGTGTGGTGAGCCAATTTTTGTTGTAACCTTTAGGGCATTCTCTAACCCAGTGTCCCAGCTCTCCACAACCATAGCATTTACTTTTTAATTTATTGGTTGAGTTTATGACAGTCTCTATTTTTTTGTCTACAAACAAGTCATACTTCTTTAGCAATTGTCGTATGGCAGAATTGTCTTGGTGAGGACTTGGACCAAATCCATCAATTGCCAAATATGTTACACATCTCCTTTTGGTAAATTTTGTCACAAACAAAAATAGCAAATTGTCGACTAATTCATTGTCCATGCTGGTAAGATGCATTTTGCTTAACATGTTTTTCCACAGTACTGTTAAATTGCGGTCATTTTTTAGAGCCACCAGTGCTTTTGTTAATGAATTTTCAGTCCAGCTTTCTTTTTTGAAATAGTGTATTCGAAGGCCATGGTCTAAGCAAGAAACAAACTCTAACAACTGTTGAGAGTTCACTTCATTTTTCATAGCATGTACAATAATTTGGTTGGCCTGAATTATTGTAGATGAAGTTGACAGATCAATGTAGTCTAAAGTTTGCTTTGCATGCCGCAGGAGTTGAAGTTTTTGTGCTTTATCGTAAGTACCTTGCGAAACTGTGATGGGAAGAAATGAATAATTATGTGAATCGCTGAGGGCAGAAGAATATTGAGAATCATGCACTGAAGAATGTTTATATTTGTTTCTTCTAAGCAAAGGTATGTTCATTGCATTTGGTGTTGACACTGGATCATATGAGCCAATGCTTCCATGAAGATCCCCAAATTCTGATTTGAGCAAAAGGTCTGTGTTTAATGTTGCAGCAGATTCAAAAAACTGGAGAACAGTTGGTTGACCTGATGATATGCGTGCCCGCTATAGGGAAAAATAGTTTTCTACATCATCTTGACACATTGTCTTTGGAATTATAATAGTATCAGGATAGTTCATTTGAATGTACTGCACCAACCCTAGAAAAGCTCTAATAGATCTCAGTAAGTCTTTGTATGTCCGTTCAGTAATAAATTTTTTCAAATGAGCCTTTCGTAGGCCCTTCTCAGGCATTGTCATTTGGATCTCGTTGTTCCACTTAGTGAACCAATTCATAATCTTGACAAGCTCTCTGTAACTTGATGGATCTATCCCTGTACTATCATTCATTATTCTAAACAATTTTGCACATATACTCAAGTACATTCGAGTTCCAATTGTCTCTTCAAGGGGATAACTGCCCTGACATATATCGGTCACAACTTCTTCAGAACACACTTCCACTGCTCGTTTTACAGACATTTTTGTTCTCGCACTCAATTTAACATGTTTCCAGCGCAGTTTTGTTTGTTTTCGTTCAACAACATCAATGAGGTGCTGGGAAGTTATACTCTGCTTTGGCCATTCCATATTTCTGTCTGGATTAACTATGAAATTTCTAAGCTTTTTTATTAGATGGGGGTAGTCTGAAAGCCACCAGATTGGTACATTGTTGTTATAAGGATTAAAAGACACCCAGTTTTGAATATTTGATTTGCAAAAAAATGCATGGGAATAAGAAGACCCGTCGCAAACACCGTAAAGTACCTGAATAGGTTTATTTTTTATAGTTGTCTTCGAGAGCACTTCAATAACTTTCCAAACTAACACTTTCAGCTTTGCACTGTTCATTTGTCGCACTGGAAAACTGGCAACAGGCCAAGAGAAGTCACCTTCAACAGAAGAAAAGAAGAATTTTTGCTTTTAACTGAGTGTTTGTTGTTGGATATTCACCAGAATCACTTTCATTTGATGATGAACTAGATGAATTTTGATCAGATTCAGAATCTGATGACTCTTTATCAGAAGTAGAACTCTCACTGCTTTCTTTCTGCATGGAATCAAAGTCATCACTTATTGCTCGTGGAATGTCAAGATTTTCAAAACCAACTAGTTCTCCTGTTCTTTTACAAACTACAATTCCTTCTTGAATCATCATTTCATCCCAGTGGATGCCACCAATTGCTTTACAATTTTGCCTTTCCATTTCTTGAACCATTCGTCTTAAGTTCTCTTGATTTATTGGTTCTGATGAAGAACTGGTCTGTCTGTATTGCTTAATTGTTTGCCAGTGAGGCAGTGGAAGTATGTTCCGAATGCTTTCATAGCCTTTTTCCCTACATTTGCTTGCCAAAGAGCAACACCATTTAATAACCAAAGGATGATACCTCATCCCTTTGGCTCTTGGCCTTTTTCTGTTTGTGGTCATTTTATTACTTTTCATAAACTCTTTTTCCTGTTTTTGCAATCCTATTACAGTATCCAACAATAACAGATGTAGGACAGAGTTTTGTGTTAACAAATTGTCCTCAACTGCTTTATCTATAAGTCTACCGAGCTCTGTTGAACAGATGTTAAAATTTACTGGGGGTTTAATTTTCTTACTCTTCATATAGTATTTAGTTCTTGATTTCCAGTAGTCACATGATTTTTTCAGATTTTTGTATCTCTCAAGTAGCTCAGCAAAGCTAAGTTTAGATAGTGCAGTATGTGAGTCTGTACTGCATTTGTCAGATGGCATATGCTGTTCATGAAATAAATTTGTATTTTGCAATAAAACTGTGCAGTTCTGACACCTCTGTGCATGTGAATGAGACAGATCTAGAAGCCTCTTGCATGGTCTTTGGGGATTAATACTTCTTATAGTCTCACTTATCTGTTTCCCAAAGCGATTTGAAAGCACAAATTTTGTGTCTATCTGGTAAGTTTTATCACAGTCACTTCCAGAATCATCAATTGGCTTTCTCATTTTGATAGCTTTTAGCAACTTTTCATCATAAATACCTAAACAAAGCTGCAATGAGAAAAGGGTGTCAAGAAGATCACTTACTCTGTTTAAATAGTCATTAGGGAGAAAACCACTATCAACTTGTTTTCCGAGAGCATATACTGAAAATGAAACTTGGTAAGGTGCACCAAATAGAAATGGACAGAACATTGTTAACTTCTTTGTTGGTAAGGACTCTGAACTTGATTCAAGGTAAAAGTGTAGCATGACACCAGTTTTTCCATATTGTAGATACACTTTCCAAGGAGAAAACTGTGTTTTAGACAGTAACAAGAACATATTAGAAATGACTTCATAATCAAGAAATATGCTTTTGCTGCTGTTACAAGCAGAGCCAGAAAAGAATTCAGAAAAAGGAAATGTAATATGTGGAGTTTCAGCAGATGATTGTGCCCCTTTGGCTTGTGTATTTTCAGTTTTCGATTGTCTGTTTAAACCTGTCTTCTCTATCTTGATTGTTTTTAAGTACTGTGGACTGCATTCAGTGCAGATGTAGTTTTGCCCTAAATCATATTTAGCTGAATGATCCTCTGTATCTGAAAAGCAGTCATACATGTCACTGTTAATTTCTTGAATTTTACCATTACTTATCTGATCGAAGCAGTTGCATGCACACATGTAATACTTTGATGAAATTTTAAAAATGTGTTTTGAACAAGGTGTTGTCTTGGTGAGAACTATTCTTTCTTACATGATGTACATGTTTTCACACCAAGCATAGAAACACAATCATCTGCTTCTGTTTTCTCCTTAGTTTTCAAAGATTTTTGGGGGGCATGTAGGACACTTGAATAAAATCGCTTTGGTTTATGCCCACGCTTTTTTTGAAGGTAATAGTGATGGTTACAGACAAATAAGGGGATGCCATTTGCTTGACAAAGATTTTCTGGTGCTATTTTTAATTCGTAAACCCCTGCCATGCATTGCAGTCTTCTTTGAGATACTGCATCCTCTGTACACCCCTTAATGCAGCACTTATTGATCCCACCAAGCAACCTTCCTCTAATATGCACAGTGCTGAGATCAACAAGTTTGTCTTGATTGGCCATTTTATTTCCTCCTGGACCACTTAGCCAATATTCACTACCAGAAAGTTTGAATTTCACTAAAATTTGTTTTTCAAGATCTGATACAGTGACATTTTGTAGCAGTTGAAATACATGAGTTTTTCCATGCAAGTCTTTGACAAAAATTTGCATCATATAAGGTTTGAACGGTGAAACAAAACACAATAAATTTCCAGGAAGAGATAAAAATATGTTGAACAAGTCAACAAGCACATATTCAAAGATTGAAAAAATCCCCAACAAAGTGCTAAATGACCAAAAGTTACAAAGTGAAAAACATTCACTTGTAAACTGAAATAAAGAACTAAAGAAAAATATTAACAGTATCAAACCATATTCTCCTACATATAACAGCATAAAATATACACATGTGAGACTTGTAAAGCTGCAGAACTGTAAGATCTCTTGTAACATGGGATGTATTGAAACTAATAATATGTATGTACCACTTAAAGCAGGAAAAGTTTCCAACAGAATTGCAGTGCAAAAACTGTTAATAGCCATATTACCAAAAATGACAGAAGACACGTAAAGGTAATGATGTGTGGAAAATAAATATGAATGAGATAACACCACATTTTCCAACCAATCATCTGAAAGGTTGTACAGAAATTTGGTGAAAATTTGAATTTTAGGAATAACCAAATATAGTATAATTAACCCTGGTAAAGATATCACAGACAAGCTGAAAACAAGATACTGAATTATATTAATTTCTGTTAATGAACATAACGTTATTTTGTTAGTTTTGTTTGACTCGCTTGTTTTTGTTGTGCGGTTCTTGACAGAACAGGAATGGTTTCTTAATTTCTTTTGGAAATTTGAAATTCTGTTCAAAGCATGTTTCCAGTTTTTGTTCAGAACCAACCTTTGTTTTTTGTGTTTAAGTGTTCGAAAACGCATAATATGAAGAAAGGTTAAAAATGAATCTGAACATGTTTTTTGTTTTGGAAAATCATCTTTGTTGTTTTGTTGTTCATATATACCTACCAAGGAACCAACAATTTTTTCAGGCAACACATGCATTGAAATAATGATCAATGAACATTGAACTCTCAAAACAGTTGCTAGAATTCCCCTGCATAACAAGGTACCAAATGGTTGGTGTTCAATGAAATTAAATTGACACTCATAAAGGATAAGAATGCATAGCAAGGCCTTAATGAAAGTTAGAATAGAAATGCAAATGTCCTCTGAATCTTCATCACGGATGATATGTTCATTCAATTCATCTTTATTTTTGGATGACAGTTTGTTTTCCTGAATTTGTTTGTTTGATTTTTCTTCAGTCTTATCTGTTTTGCAATGAATGTTTTGATCATCATTTGCAGGGTGTGACATGTCTATAAAACAAACTGAATAAAGGGCTGTAGTTATTAAGATTGGAAAAGGGAGTATCACTGCAAGGAAGACAATGTCACACTGTGCCAGAGTAACTAGAATGAAAATAGGAAAGCAAAGCTGTAAATATAACAAAAACAATGTTGTACCACTGGGTAATCGCAGAAAACATGTAGTTTGTTTGGGAGAAAACCTGACATCTGACGATCTGACTTCAGAGCTTTCATCTTCATCTGCTTTTGGCAGAAAAGCATCAGGCTCACTTTCAGAATGGAGTTGGGTGGGCATTTGTTCAGGTTCGGTATGCTTGGGTACTTCACTTGTCTGGGTATCACTGGGATTTTGACTGGGTTGGGTACAGTTAGCTTTTTGAATGGGTTGGGTAGGGCTAAATTTCTGTCTAGGATAGATAGAACAAGGCTTTTGGCTGGATTGGCTAGAACATTTTTTCTGACATGGCTGGGCAGGGTAAGGTTTTAGACTGGGAGGGGCAGCACAACATTTTTGACTGGGTTGAGTAGAACCAGGTTTGCTACTAGGCTTCGTAGAGCTAAGTTTTTTACCGGGTTGGGTAGGGCTGGATATTTGACTTAGTTGGTTAGGCCTGGGTAACGGTATATGATTGGGCTGGTCAGGGCTGGGTAAGGTTAAGTTTCAGGATGGGATAGGTGGGGCTACATTTTGTACTGTGCTGGGTAGGGCTAGGTTTTTGATAATGTGGGGAAGGGTTGGCTTTTGGCTTTGGCTGGGTAGGGTTGGGTTTTGGGTTGGATTTAGGGCAGCTGAATTTCAGCTTTGGCTGGCTAGAGGTAGGTTTTGGACTGTGATGGCAAGGGCTGAGCTGGTTGAGGCTGGTCTTGGATCTAGGTTGGNTTACCTTATGTTTGCATTGCGTTGTTTTGATGTCTCTGGGTTCCTGGAGGTGGTTAAGAGCCATTTAGGCGAGTTTTATTTTCTGGCGGTTTGCTTCCCCTAAAGAGAAACGATTGGGCTGGTCAGGGCTGGGTTTTGTACTGGGCTGGGTAAGGCTAAGTTTCAGGATGGGATAGGTGGGGCTACATTTTGTACTGGGCTGGGTAGGGCTAGGTTTTTGATAATGTTGGGAAGGGCTGGCTTTTGGCTTTGGCTGGGTAGGGTTGGGTTTTGGGTTGGGTTTAGGGCAGCTGAATTTCAGCTTTGGCTGGCTAGAGGTAGGTTTTGGACTGTGATGGCAAGGGCTGAGCTGGTTGAGGCTGGTCTTGGATCTAGGTTGGCCAGGACTGGATTTCAGTTTGATACAGCAGGGTTTAGAGCTGCATTTTGTAGGGCTGGGTTTTGGGCGAACATTGGAGACAGACTGGGTAGGGCTAGGTACTGAGGTACTAGGTACTGGACCTGGCTTGAGACTGGTAGGGGTACATGCAGGGGGAGTCAGGTTGGAGGGTTGCGATGGGGCAGGTAGGGGAGGCCAATCAATATCTGTGATAACGAGAGCAGAGGGAACATCTTGCAGGGAGGGCATGGGGGGTGTGGTTGGTTCTGGTTTGATTGAATTAGACGTGGTTAGGCAGTGGTGAAACCACTTGGCAAGAATATCATTGCCTTTTGTAGTAAGATGGATTTTATCAGGCCTGTACAAATTTTGATTAAATAGGGTGGATGGCAGTTCGTGGAAAAAAACGTATTCTGGAAACAATTCCTGAACCTGAAAAAAAATACAAGAGTTAGTGGCTGCAACGTGTTTTTGAAGGTGATCGAATCGTGGTAAAATTGGAAATAAATGGATGTATGCAGTTGGACACTTTCGTCGCAGTAAAAATAAAATTTCGGTTAGTGTGGCAGAAATAGTGGTAGGAGAATGTGAACATAAATTATTAGTGCCACAGAGGAGAGAGATGTTAGACACAGAGGAGGGGATGTTC